CGCAAAATGAGTCTGGCGTTGGATGGGAGAGGGCGGCTCAAGCACATCACTGCCACACCTCTCAAATCTGATGACCCCAAATTTATCAAATGGAGACAAGCAGACTCAACGGTTATAACATGGATTCTAGAAAACATAGAATCGGATATTGTCAATCAATATATCGATTATCCTACTGCTTGGGATCTGTGGAAGGGAATCGAAGCCACCTACGGCTCCGGGAAAGATCCCTTGCAGGTATACAACTTGATGGTGAAAGCTAGCAGCATCAAACAAGGAGACCAGACACTAGAGAAGGTCTATAGCCAATTGCAAGCTGTGTGGAAGGAAATCGACAGGAGGCGACCCAACCCGATGAAATGCCCAGAGGATATGACGATTTTCACACAAATTCAACAACAAAATCGTCTGTATCAATTTCTACAAGCCATAAACGAAGAGTTTGATGTAGAAAAACGTGATATCCTCAAAACAGATCCCCTCCCCTCCGTAGAAGAGGCATACGCCCAAATCAGGAGGGAGGCTACCAGGAAAGGAATAATGAAGGGAGACGATGGGCCTTCATCGGGAGATGTTCCCTCAGGTCTTGGCAGTGGGTTCGCAGTCACACGGGCTGGATTGCGATCGGAAAAGGAGGTATCGTCATCTCGCATAAATGAGGACAAATCAAAATTGAAATGTACCTATTGTGGCGGAACCAAGCACACCGCAGAAGGGTGCTTCAAAAGAATCGGGTACCCAGATTGGTGGCCTGACAGCCGAAAGAGGGGGAAGAAGCAGCCTGGGGTCGCTGGGGCATTGGTGGGCAATCAAGAGATCACCAGCACCATCGCCGTCCAAGCATCTGAAAACTTCGCCGGAATCGCCATGGGTAACGTCGAAGAAGAGAGCAGCGGCGTAAGAAGGAGAAGCGAAGAAGTTACGGGTAGGGGCAAAGTGATGGGTAGGGTTTGGGGAGAGGGATTAAATACTCTTTCCAAATCAGGCCCAATAAATAGAATCTGGCCCAAATCCCCGCAAATTAAAAATAACCAGTGGATTTTTTACTGTGGGGCTACTGACACGATGTCCTTCGACCGTTCCGATTTTAATTCTCTAAATTGGTCCAAGAAAATGCATATCCAAACGGCCAATGGGAATTATTCTCGTGTCGAGGGCACTGGTCCAATATCTATCTCAAATTCTATCCGGCTGGAGAATTGCCTATTTGTTCCCACATTGTCTCACAAATTGTTGTCAATAAGCCATGTCACAAAACAATTAAATTGCATGGTCCTAATGCACCCCACTTTTTGCTTATTAGAGGATATTCAGACGGGGAAGATCATTGGGCATGGTTCTGAGCGTAATGGCATGTACTATGTCGAGGAATTTGATCATTACGGAACAGCTACGCTTGCTCATGGGACAGTGGACAGGCAGGCATGGTTGTGGCATCGTCGTTTGGGACATCCATCTTGGGGTATCTCAAAATTCTCTTTCCAAAATTATTCAATAAATCATGTCAGTTTCATTGCAACAGTTGTATTCTAGCCAAAAGTCATAAACATTCCTATCCGTTAAATAACACAGTTGCATCACAACCTTTCTCATTAATTCATTCTGGTGTGTGGGGTCCATCTCCAGAACCGTGTCCAAATGGGTATCAATATTTTTTATTGTTTGTTGATGACTGTACCCGTATGACTTGGGTGTACTTTCTTAAACACAAATCTGAAGTTTTTGAAAAGTTCACCTCATTTTACAAATTGATCAACACACAATACCAAAAACAGATCTGTATTCTTCGATCTGATAATGGAGGAGAATACATAAATCATCCCATGGAAAATTTCTGTAAGGAAAAAGGTCTTATCCATCAAACCACTTGTCCTGATACCCCTCAACAAAATGGCGTTGCTGAACGTAAGAATC